AATCACATTCCTACTCGCGTGGATGCTTCTTTAAAGATGAAGGGATCAAAGGTCCCTGTCTGTTTCTACCAAAAAAAAAAGAAAAAAAGGTCCCTGTCAGTAAGACGGCCATTTGATATCACTGTCCCTAAAAAGGCAACCTCATAGAGTCATAGGTGAACTCAATTGGCTCACGCCTTCCTTAATAGGCATTTGACACGGTATTCGGATCCCATTTAATAGAAGTTGGATACACTTTTCATACATTTTCGAGTTCTTGACAGCATTAGCATTAAGCATGACACTACAAAGGAACAACCTCAAATCGCACAAACCATGTAACCCGGCACGTCAGACTCCCCATTTCCAAATTGTATGGATGACCTCAGCTTCATGTGCCACACATTTTTGTTTCCTCATACTTATGAACAAGAGCATAAAACTTCAAATGGTTAAACACATAATGCACATCCTGAACCTTAAGCCCAATTAACTGTATACCCGTTCCGGCTCAGCATATAGTCCTCCTTCTTAGTATAACGAGTTGCAGGCAAATTGTCAAGATTCAAATTAACCTGATACATGATCTTATCAATGCTCTTCTTCAAGAGCTTAATTAAAGTTATCAGGAGATAAGGGAGCAGACTGGCAAAGGAAGATGTTTGCAATCTTCTCTGTGCAGTCTTCCTTGTTTTGCTATGGCAGTTTCTTTGATTACCTCCTCCCATGGATACGTCAACCCACACAGCAACGCAGTCTGCTCCGTGACCTTTTCGGAGAAGAAAGGGACCCTTCTGTTCTGCTCCATTTCTCCGGTCAATCTGGAATGTAGTTGATTATGCGGGCCACCTTGTGATGACGTGGATAGTGCAGAATGCGAATGCTCAATGATCACCATCCCCTATATTGGGCTTCATTTTTGATGTCCCAATTCAGTGTGGACCAATTGAAGGTCTCTAATCTCAATTAGTAAAGGTCCAGTGGTCCACGACTTATTGCAGGCGGCCCACTTAAAACTTTAGTTTCTCTTTTTGAACAAGTTATGTATATATATTTTTTTTAACAAATTTGTAAGGAGTCGGATTTGAACTGTTGTTTGGGGAGGGGGATGCACTTTAAACATAACTCGATGTCACTTTGAAGGTCCAAGTGTGAAGTACAAGTTATATTTATTTAACATGTAGTAGTAATATATATTTTTTTTAGTATATTTGTTTGAGTTATAAAATCTCTTTTTTCAAATCTCTTTCATTAAATTCAAAATTTAAAATTGAAATTTTTAATTTAAAATCTTAAGTTTTTAACTAATTAAGTAATCTATTGAGAGTAACATGTACTAATACATTTTAACTAATCTAACATATGTACTATACATTTATAGTACAATTAAACCATTAACGTTATTAATTTCTAAAAATTATTTAGAACTAGCAAAGAGCTAAATAAACTTGAGTACATTAAAACTCGATCTTAAAACTCAATTTTGAGAACTTCCGCCTCAACAAAAGTCTTATTCAAAATTTGGACTTTGGAGTCAAGGCTATTGGCCCCTTTAATACCATGGTTGTTTCTAATTTTTATTAGTTTTGTAAGTCTAAAATTAAAATATAAATAATTAAAACACAAATAAGTTTAAATGAATGGAGTGAGTTACCATATGAAAAAAATAAAAAAAAAAATGCTTCCTTTTCTACATTTCAAGATTCTTTAGTAAAAAAACACACACATGTAAGTTTCGAAAATTTTGCACCATACAAATTGTCTATTTAGATTTTAATTTTGAATTTTAACTTTTAATTTTAGTTAGTATCAATTTTTACAGCCCAAATTATAAACTACAGTAAAAATAATTAAATAACAATTAGTATATTACTAATGAAATC